ATCTTGTAAGTATAATTCAGGACAATATTCCTAATTCAAAACCCTTAGGTTAAATCACATCTGCAAAGTCCCTTTTGCTATATAACTTAACTTACCCGGGTTGCAGGTCTTTGCATGTGGTCATCTTTTGGATCATGGTTCAATTCCTATAGGTGAGTAAAAATTACTCAGGAAGCTGAGGCACTTTGAAATAAAGACAAAGGTTTAATGGCATTTGGTTATAGGCCCTGAAAATGCCCCAATACTCCCTTTTCATCCCCATCACCTTCCCCCACCTGTACCTGAAGAAGCTATATACAAAAGGGAAAAGAGAAATTGAGCTTCAAAGCTCTGTTTTAGATGAGCTTGCCAGTTATCTACTTCTTCTCTCAGCTGTCACTGCAGAGAACACATGTAAAGCTGAACTGGATACCAGATTTTAACCTTAAGGTCTGAGTGGGGCTTGTACTCCCTCCTCTTCTCACCCACTTTCCAACTTTTCTGACAAGTATCAGGAAAAAAAAACCTTAAGTGGATACAGGCCTTGAACGTGGTGGTCCTCTGGCTAATGTAAATCACTGAATCAATGTTATAATCTTTGACTCATCAGATCATGTATTCCTATATCTGGAGGTGGCAGAATGGTGAATTTCTTTCCATCTTAGCTCTTATTTCACCTTATTGGCAAAATATTCATAAAATTAATATTAATTTTAATTTTGGAATTAAAATTTGAATGCCTGCCAGAGTGGCTAGAGAGAAAGGAAAAGTCAAGGATGACTCCTCAGCTTAAGAATAGGCAAATAAAAGAGATGTACACCATCTCTTCCTTAGAGGAGGAGACTTTATCTGCTAGATGGTGTACAGGTGTGTGACCACTGACATTAACAGCAATGTTGAAAAACAAGCTTTCAAGAAGAAGGTAGAAAAAATGATGGAGTGTTATAAGGAATAGTTGATGAAATCTATGAGGTTTAAACTACAAAAGCTGTATGGGGAGATATGATAAATGTGCAATTCAGTTTATGCTTTCTGGTATCGGCACAAACATTCATTGAGTATTTGCTATATCCCTTTTGCATACCACATAAACTATTATGCCATCTTAAGGCATGCTTCTTATTCCCATTTGATAAAGCAGGAAACGGAAGTACAGAGATGTTAAATAACTTATCCTAGGTCATATAGCTAATAAGTGATCTAATGAGTGATGGGGTTGATATTGGAAGCCAAGTCTGTCTCATTCATAGCCATTCTCTTTCCACTGTACTAATACCTTCTCCTGAATTACAGGCATAAAAAAAGTGGTTGTTTTCATTTTTATCCAGTACAATCTAAAAAGTTTCCAGCACTTCCAGTTACCTACCCCTTCTCTCAGGCCCCATTGCAGACAATGTTAATGATATTGCTGCCCTCTAAGGAGGGACTTTTCCTTAGGAGAAAGTAATTTCTTCTGAGGACTTTTCTTTCCAAGTTCTTTCCTTTAAATGAAACCCCAGTGTTTTTTGGCAACCACAAGTCCTCTGAATAAACCAACAAATAACTGTCTTCTAGTTCACAGACAAGAATGCTTCAAGTTTCGATGAAGAGAACCTCATCTGCAGCACCCTGGACCTCTTCTTTGCTGGAACTGAGACAACTTCTACAACGCTGCGCTGGGGTCTGCTTTACATGGCCCTCTACCCAGAAGTCCAAGGTGAGAGTGGCAGCAAATGTGCCTGGCCCAGGACACATGGTACCTCCTGGCTACATGGCCCAGGGTTGGGCAGAAGCTGGCTGGTGAGCAGGGAAATACAGAATCATTGGAAGGTGTTGCAGTCTTGAGCATGCATACATTTGTCACTTTTTATACAGGAATATGAGGAGTCCAGATAGGATAAGTGTTAAACTCCCTGTGTGCACAAAGCTCTGGGTCTAGGGGAAAACATTGAGGCCAACTGACTTTGTAATGTGGTCCAGAAAAGAGTTACAATCTCATATGAGTATTTATTCTTCCATTCTTTTCAGCAATCCCTTCCTCTTTTCCCCTGATAATGCCCAGACACATTTTTGCTATTGTTTCCTTTTTTTTTTCCCATTGTTGAGCCTCAAACCCAGGGCCACATGCATGTAAGGAAAGCTGTCTGCCACCCCACAAAGCCACATCCCCAGCCCTGTCTAGATTCGTTAGTCTAGTAATAATGCCCTCTGATGTGCCATTTTCTGCCTGTCCTGCCTCAGCAGCATCCATCCTGCATTGGTGGTTTCACTGAATTCTGTGTCATTTCCTTGACACTGTCCGAAGTGTCTGAATCACAATATCTGGTCTTTCCTCTGTCAAGAACATGCTTCCTGTGTTTCTCCACATGCTGAATCCCCAACTCTTCAAAAAGAATTCTTCCAATACTACTACCTAAGATGTTTCTTCATTCCTGTAGGAAATTGCTAACTTAGAACTGTTTGCCATTTCCTTCCTCCAGAGATGACCAGGGCACATCTATTGCTGTGCTTAGAGCACATTATATATGGATTCCCCAGAGACCACCATCCTTTCAAGGACAATGGCTATTCCCAACATTTTTATTTCTCCAGGTTCTAGAACAGTTTGGGCAGGTGGAGGATGGAAACAGTCATGGCATGGTTTCTTGAACTGTGGGTAACAATTTATTAATGAGTTATAAGATCAATTGAGTAGATCGAGGTCAATGCTCCCACTCCCCCAAAATAAAAATAGAGAAGACTGAAGTTCTTGCCATCTATTAAGGATATATTTGTTAATAAAACTTTACTTCTCTCACATTTTAATTTACAAATGCAGGCTTTATGGGTGTGTGTGTGTGTGTGTGTGTGTGTGTGTGTGTGTGTGTGTGTGTACGTACGTACATACATACATACATGTAGCTACACTTGATCCCAGAAAAATCTAAGAAAAGTAGCTTTTAGCTGGACAGTCAGGTAGCCAGCTCAAATCTCTATGACTGTAGAAAAGGAGGAAAATATAAATGGAAGACAGCTAGCAGTTTCCATGAGCTGAGACATGCCGATCCTGATCCTGTTTAATGCTTACCTAAATGAGTTCATGTAATTCTCAAAACATCTTTCACATGAAAGTTGACTTAGCCTCACTAATCAGATGAAAAAAATTGAGGCTCAAAGGATCTGAGTACCTTTCAGCAATAATGTTGTAGAGCAGGAGTCTGCTATTCACTTTCTACTCCCATGCTACCCTTGAGAAGTGAGAGTCTTCAGATCTGCTAGGATCCAAATACTTGTGTCTTCCTCAACAAATACCTGTGTGGAAACCTAATTATAAGTGTGGTGGTATTGGGAGGTGATGAGCCTTCATGTATGGCATTAGTGCCCCTATGAAACATTCCCAGCAGGCTGCCTTGCTCCTTGCAACATGTGAGGACAAAGCAACTAGGTGCCACCTCTGAACCAGAAAGTGGGTCCTCCCCAGGAACCAGATATGCTGGTACTTTGATCTTAGACAGCCCAGGCTCCAGATCTATGAGAAATAAATTTCTGTTGTTTTTAAGCCACTCTACTTATGGCACTTTATCATAGAAGCCTGAATAAGAAAAGACCCTACTATAAGCTTAGCCACATTGATCCTGGGTATTCCATTCCTTGTCCTAATTAGACTCAAGAAAAGTGACTGAGTTGACAATTTTCTGATTAAGCCCTTTGAAGGGTTAAGGAACATTTTATTTCTTTGCAACCTGTCCACTATTTAAATACCACAGGTGAGAACAATCCTACATCTTTAGAAGAAAGTATACAAGTTTCAAAAAATAATAGAATCTCCCTCTTCTCTTCCAGAAAAAGTGCATGCTGAGATTGACAGAGTGCTTGGCCAGTGGCAGCAGCCAAGCATGGCCGCCAGAGAGTTCATGCCCTACACAAATGCTGTCATCCATGAGGTGCAGAGAATGGGCAACATCATCCCCCTGAATGTCCCCAGGGAAGTGGTGGTTGATACCACTTTGGATGGATACTACCTGCCAAAGGTAAGGAAGCACACCCAGCCTCAGACTTCAAGCCTGTCTTTGAGACCATCACAGAACTTGCATTTGTATATGAAAAGTCACATATATTCCTATCCCAAAGAATCACCTAGATGGGGAGATACATTATACTTGATATAATACTAACTTTTTCTCCATGGATTTTTACCAGATATAGGTATTAAGGGGAATAGAGGAGGAAAGATTCCTAACTCAAATGTGTTTAAGCCAAGACTAGTTTGTTTGTGTGTTTGTTTGTTTTGTTTTGCTTGCTGTGGGCCTTCTCAGTGTTCTCACTCTCTGATGTGCACTGTGGCTCATGATGGCACACAGCAGGCAGCAAAGTCTCTGTCAGATTTTGCCACAGAGCCCTGTTCTTTACCTTGGAGAGCATCTCTCAGAACTAGGGACCTGCCAGACTTTGGAAAATGTGGAAGGACATTTGAGATTACCTGGTCCCAAACCACATTAATACCGATGTTTCTAATATCATGTTCCCACAGGTATTTTTCCAGCTTTTACCTACAGCCCCATGATGGGGAACTCTTCATTTCATAAAAGAAGCCACTCCAGTGTATGCAATGTTCATGATTAGAACAGGAGAACAAGGAACGAAAATTTACTTATGCATGATTACATGTCATGGACTAGCCTCTTTCAAAATATCTTAGTTCTCAGGACAACTATTATTCCCATCTTATAGATTGGGAAGTTGAGTCTCAAGGAAATTAAGCTTGCATGAGATCTCAACTACGAAGTGACAATAGCTGGATCTAGAACCAGAGCTGTTCTAATTATTTGTATGATGTGATGCTCCCTCCATAGGACTTGTTTTGCTTTGACTTTAACAAAAACAAAACCAAAAAACTCCTTTTAATTTTTCCCTACTGGTCTCTATTAAATCCCTTGGCTTCACTAACAGAATTCAGATCACACTGCACCCACCACTTTTAAGATCTCTGCAGAAGGCTCTCCTGGGTCCCCCAAAGTTCTTTCTCTATGATGTACACTTATAGTTCCTTCCTTGCTACCTGGATCTATTCTAGTTTGTCCAAGTCCCTCCACATATGTTGTACTTGAGAACAATCTCCATTGTTAGAATAGAAGAGAATCCCAGTGACTCCTTGGTGACTGTCACTGCAGAGCCAAGAAATGCAGCTGCTATAGGAACTATTTTCTTCCTGATGAAACTTCTCATGGATGAAGGCTGAGGCCTGAGTTCCCAACCAGGTGCTGTTTGCATTTTTCTAGCCATTCATTTAACTCCAGAGAATCAGCCAATCTCACTAGATGAATTCTACCACTGGTTTTTCACATCAACTTTAATAATCCTCCTGGGATCTGAGAAATATAATTGATTACATGAATGGAGGCTAGGAGCCATGGTTTTGACATCAGATAGACCTAGTTCACATGACTCTACCTCCCCCCACCACCACGTGGCTCTGAGCACATCATTTAACCACTCACAACTGCAATTTTTTCATCTGCAAAATGCATTTGAGCCCACCCTACAGGATCCATGTGAAGTAAAATGGGATCCTACATGCTGAGCCTCTTACTCAAAGTAACAGTTATTCAGCAAATATTCATTAAGTATCTGAAGTACTTAGATATAGAAAAATAACCCTTTGCAAAATAGTCATGCTTACAAAATATACCAACCATGCTAACTGTCCCAAGGAAAATACTCACTGCCTCTTTAAAGATGCTTCCAGCATCTCCCAGGAGGAATGAGGAACAGGTGCTGGAAGGATCTGGGGAGGCTTGCCTGTGAAGGAAGTATTGCTGGAGCTGAGGATTAAAGGATTGCTGGGAGTTGGTTAATGGCAAAGTGGGGGAAGAGAACATTTCCAGGCAAGGTGAGCAGTATTTTAAAAGTTATTTAAATGAATGGAAACTTGACCTGTGTTACAGGAAACTGTAGTGGGAGCTCAAGAAGAATAGGAAAAGCCCTGAGAGGTTAGGCAATGGATCTGTGACTAGGAGTGTGGGAAGCTATTGAATACCAAGTTTGAGGTCTGAGTGGGTGGAGGCTGTCATAGATTTAAGCCCTACCCAAAGCACACTCTGCTTTCAGGGTGTGGAGCGAATTCAAAAGGGCAACAGAGGATGTGGGGCATAGGTAGGAAGTGATTACAAGAATCTGGATGAACAAGGTGGAAGCTTGAACTAAGGTGGTGGTGGACATTCCCTAATGGAGGTGAGGGAATCAGGGGGCATTGAAAGAAGTGTCAAGCATGACTGACGGGTTGGATGAGGTAGTGAGAGAAAGGCTCACTCTGGTGACTCCAGAGTTTCTTGTCATATACCTCGATGGACAGGGATTCTTTTCCCTGGATATCTGCTTCTGCTACTCAAATAGCTTTTGGGCCTGGGCACAGCCTTCTACACATTGGAGGGAAGAGAATGCAGAAGCAGAGGTGAAAGATGCATTTCCTCCACTTTGTAGAGCTGCCCTTCTTATCATTTCACTGACTAGCTGGGTTGATTTAATTACTGTGTGGACCCACAAGCTGTCACATAATTCTCTCATGGATGCTTATAGGTCCCTTCCCCAGACCTATACTGACTTTTTTTCCTGCAGAGTACCTTCATTATGCAGTCAAGAGTAGCCAAAACTCCCAGGTAAAATTCTCAGAAGACAATTCTAATTCATCCTTCTTTGTCCCACACAAAGAGATGGGTCTTGGAAGGTTGAGCTCAGCAGGTGGTGGGTTGGGAGGGTGGGGAAGCTCAGAATATGCTCAGAACCCAGCATGGGGTGCTGAGAACCACCTACCTTTGCCTAGATGTGTGGTGTGGGTTAAGTCCTGCCTGACTTTTCACTGCCTTCTCTAGGGGACCATGATCCTGACCAATTTGACTGCTTTGCACAAGGACCCCAACGAGTGGGCCACCCCTGACACATTCAACCCTGAGCATTTTCTGGAGAATGGACAGTTTAAGAAAAAGGAATGCTTCCTGCCTTTCTCAATGGGTGAGTTTGGATGAACAGGAGTTGGGGAGGGCAGAGTTCCTCCCTCAGCCCTTCCCTCCTCTCCTGTCTGCAATCCTTTGCTCTAGTTGGGGAGTCTCCAGAGGGTCCTGCCTAGGGTGACTCCATCTCACTATTATTTGAAGTTCAACATCCTCTGGTCCAGGCCTGGCCTCAGACCGTCTTTACTTCCCAAGCCCTCCCTGGCTGCTGGTGGAGATTTCAGCCTCCCTTAGTTCTGTTTTCCAGAATGCTGAGGACAGAGACTCAATCCTTGCCTCTTGGTCACAAAGTTGGATATCTTTCTTCTTTATAAAGTTTTTAATTGTCACAATTTGTTTTTAAGTGTTTTCCTCTCCCAACAAATAGTTCTGATACTGATGGGGCGGCAGCAAAGGAGGGAAGCTCTTGATTCACTGTCATGTGTAGTAGACAGTGACTCTAAATGCTCCCAGCTTAGCTAGGTTGGGCTCTGCTCTGTAAGCTCTTCCTGAAAAGGTCCTTTTGCCCTTTTCAAATTTAGTTTTCTTGTTAAAATGTAGTTAATACATCTGTATGATATGCAGCTGGAAAAGTGGATACAATGAAACAATGCATCCCTCCCCCTATCTCTTTTTCTGTCCTCCCCCATTCCTGTGTTTTCTAGCCAGCCCGTTCCAAAAGAATATTTCAAACTTACAGCATTGTAAAATTGATAATAAAATGTCTTAGTCCAGATAATGAGTTTGATGTTACATAAATTACTTCAAATAATTTCTCAATTCCTTTATTTCATAAATATCGACCAAGAATCAATTGTGTCACATATTCAGTCCATTTCATAATGATGAATGAAACAGAAGACAAAACAGCTGCCCTCAGAGAGCATATGTCATACTGCAACCTTAGAAAGTTCAAATTTATCACCATTTCAGGGTTATGAAACTGAGACCCAAACACATGTGGTAATGAAGTCATAAAACTCATATAGCAGAGTTAAGGCAAAATATTAATCAGATTTATCAATAGCTAAAACTTTTGTTCCTCCTAACAACATCTTCTGAAAATAACTAAATGCTACAGAGAAAACACACTGTAGAATACATAATAATTTGCTTATCATTCACTTAAAATATGCATTGACTTTATGAGACAGTATCATTTGACTACTGGTAAGAGACTCAGAAAGGGAAAAACTCTCTTTCTTTCCTGGCCCTGAGTTTCTAAACCCTTTGCTTTCCCACTATGCTGCACTGCCCTAGGTGTGTCTGGGTTGATCTGATTAGAACTTCTTTGTCTTTTCTCATCTGGTTCTACCCTCACCTTTGCTCACATTCGACAAGTCACCTCTAATGTGAAGAGGTAGTATAAGGTGTAGGAATGTCTGCCAGTCTTCCTGTCTGCTGTAGTTTCACACTTTGCATTAAAGCACAAAGTTTCATGTGTATGTTTCAATTACTGTGACACTTCTTGCTTCTTGGATGCATAAAATGTTGCAATGCTAGAAATATGACCCTTTAGCATTACACAATTGCTTCATGTGCTGTTTACTGTAACCTGATGAGAGGAATCATAATAGAGATGGCTTTAAGAGGAAGATGGATTCTCTTGACCTTCTGATACCCAGATAGATTCCTTCCCTTCATATTGCCAAAACCTCTTACTCATATTTGCTTCATGTCTTCTTCTGTTTTAAAACAGTCTTCCTTCTGTGTTAGCAAAAGGGTAAAAAGAGCAGCACACAGGACTCACTGGTACTTTCCTACCAAGAATTATATGACACTCTCTTAACCACAGGCTTCATTTGCAAGTGTATTATCTCAAGCACTCCTTACAGCAAACTAGTTATTAATACTTACACAGGAAATGGACTGGTATCTTATTTCTTAATATAAGCAAACTAAAACTGAGAGAGTTGTTTCTTTCTGAGATCAGATGGCCCCCAAATTGGTAGGCTAGGGCCTAAGACTCAAGTTTTTATACTTTCAATTTAGTGCTCTCTCCAGTACAACTAGAATGTAACTTACTTTTCCATTTTAAGAGTCATTGAGTTTATACCACATGTATCAGCTAGTATTTTGCTGCAAAACAAACAATCTAAAACTCTTGGGACTTTATAAGCTTGTGTTATTGATCACAAGTCTGCAGGTAAGGTATGTGGCTTTGCTGTTCTTGACTGGGTTCTCTTACATGTTTGGTAGGTCAGTTATCTGAAGACTGATTTCAGCTGGGACAACAGTGTTCTTTTCTCTCATTCTCTAGCAAGCTAGCCTGGCTTTTTCACATGGTGGTGATTATGTCCCGAGAGAATAGAAGCACACTGTGGCCCATTAAGGTCCAGGCTGGAAACTGTCAAGCCTTGACTCCCTCTACATTCTAATGGCTGATGCCAGTCACAAGGCCAGCCTCAGTTAAAGAGAAGGAAGAATTGCTAGAACTTTGATTAGATGAGCTATGAACTCATTCTGTAAATAATGTAGAACTGAGGCAAGTGAGAAATGGAGATGTTTTGTTCTCAGCATCTCTCTTATTGATAGAAGACTAAAATTCAGAGAGCACAGGCAATTTGCCTGGGGATTCCCACAGAAGATGTGGCAGAATGAGGATCAGTTGAATTTAACAGGAGCTAGAAACCTAGAAATATCCAGTGAGCCAACATGGTGAAAACTCATCTGTCTGGTTTTTCTACCAGACGTTCATCTTAGACATACAGTTTTGTTTCCTCACTCTGAAGGAGTTTAAGCTTGCAATGAGCTGAACACCATAGAGGAAGTGAGTTGGCAGAAAACACTTTCTCACCTTATAGTGGCTGGGAAACCAAGAGAGGAAGGGACTCAGGGTCTCAATATTCCCTTCAAGGGCACACACCTCCAATGACCTCCCTGTAGATCCACCTTCTAAAGTTTCTACCATCTCCCAATGGCACCAGAGGCTGGCAGACAAGCCTTTAGCACATGGCCTTCAGGAGACATTTAAGATCTACACTTAACATTCTGTCCCTGGCCTCCAAAAGCTCATGTCCATCTCACAATGCAAAGTACATTCAGTTTATCTCCAAGAGTCTCTCAAATATTAACTTTTCTAGCATTGCTAGATAGTCCAAGTCCAACGTCTTTTCTGAGACTCATACAAACTATTAGCTGTGACCCACTGAAAAAAAGGTAAAAAAGAAAAACAACAACAACAAAAATTGCATGCTTCCTAGATTCCTAGCTTCCTAGTCCAGGATAAATATTCCCATTGCATTTAAGTTTCTGAGTTGAGTGACCATGGCTCTAACTGTAATGTCTGGCATATAGAGAAAAGCAATGTGGAGCTCCTGAAGATTGCTAATGCTCCACTCCCAAGTTTGATTCTTAAAGTAATGGTGCAGGCCACATCTTCTAGACCCCTCCCCACCCAGTGTGGAGGAGAAGGTCTTACAATGCAACTCCACTGCAGCATCCCAGTCTCTCTGAGCCTCTGAATCCCTTCATCAACATTAAACCAAGTCAATTTAGACATTTCCAGCTCATTCACAATGAACCATCTTTTGATCCATATTTCAGCCAACCAACCAAATACTCTGTTAGCATCTCCTTTTTAAAATATTTATTTTTTAGTTTTAGGTGGACACAATATCTTTATTTTTTTTTAATGTGGTGCCGAGAATCGAACCCAGTACTTCAAGCATGCTAGGCGAATGCAGTACCACTTGAGCCACAATCCCAGCCCCATTAGCACCCCTTTTTAACTCTGCAAATAAATCAAGAGCAGAAGCTCTGCTTAATGGGTTCATATCAATAAATTCAGCCTGAACCAACTTTATGTTCCTTCTACCATTAGCCCACATCATTAAAATCCATTTTCACACATGTGCTCTAGACCTCTGCTTGTATGAATTAGAAAATTTGAGAAGTTCATTTGCACTGTAGTGCACCTCCCCAGGAGTCACACAGTGCCCCTTGCCTCTAGGGGTCTGTTGATACTGAAGTCTGATATCCAGTCTAGAGGCAAAAATGGTGGTTGAGGGGGTGGGTCCTGAGGAGTAGCAGCATTGTCCACTTAGTAACTGTGGCAGGGAAGGTCACTGCTGTTTCCTTGGGCAGGATTAGTCCCTTCAGGCAGAGGTAGAAAGGCCAGGAGCATAGGGGAAGAGTTGGGGGTGCTGCTGCCACTAAGGGTGGGGAGGCAACTTCCTCTGGCAAAATAAACTCATCATAACTTAGGAGTTCAATCTCCCCACCCTCATCAGAGTCTGCCCACAGGTCCCCATTCCAATTTTTAGTATGTCATTATTTCCATGTAGTCCTTTCATTTTAACTGCAGATACCTGTCCAGGTTGAGACTTAAATTTGTACTATAATCTGGCCAATTGCATGATGAGGAGTTTGGTTTTGGCAACTTCAGCCTTCTGTCTGCCAGAGAAAAGATTCTCCTTCAGGGCATACTTGGAAGAGTTCAGGTTACTTATGTAAATTTGGCACTAGGAAATTGAATCTCTGAACACATTGTTTTCCTTTACTATTATGTCCAGTGATGCTAGGGACAACCAGCCAACATCATTATATTCCTTGGTTTTCTTAAAAATGTTTATAAGTATCATGTATAGAATTGCTGGATTCCCCATCAGGCACATTGAATGTGTTTCCTTTTTGTCTTATGAAACAATTTAGACCAGACTATCAATACTCTCTTCAGGAGAGTCTTTAGATACTTTAGGTTTAGACAAATTAGAGAGCCTTCCAGATACCATAAAACCAATTAAAGAAATTCAACATTACAGTTCTGTGTCTTTACAGCTCCTTCTGGTACCCAAATCTGTACTAAGGCTCTCTAGAGAAACAGAATCAGTTAGGAAAGAAGATTTATTAGATGGGCTTACATGGTCAGAGGATAGTCTCACAGT